TGAGGTGAACAATTAATCCATCCAAGTTAATCCACTGAAAAAAAAATGTTTGTCTTGGTAATCTTTAATCAAATTCTGAGCATTTGTTTCCACTCCAGAATGGCATTCCTTCTCTGATGACGTCAGTTTGATGGGTTGGGTAGAATATCCTTAACCACTCCCCTCTAACCGTTAGTTTGCTGCGAGTGAGAGACGGAGAGGAGGAGCACTAAAATAAAACCCCACCCTCTAATCAATATTACGTTTCAGTTGGAAATGCATCACTATACTGAAGACGGCAACACCTTCCGGTTAACACAGGCTTTAAAAAACATTCAAAAATATTTTTTTATGAGCTCATAAGTTATAACTATCATTGCAGATATCATTACAAATACCTCAGAGCCCCAAAAAGATAAATTATTACCTGATGTCGTTTCAAACCCTGTACGACTTTCTTTCTGTGGTGCAACACAAAGGGAGAAATAGCTTCTTTTGTGTTCTCCAGAAGAAAGTCATACAGGTTTGAAATGACATGAGAGTGAGTAAATTATGACAGGATTTTCTTTTCGAGTGAACTAATCTTTTAAGCTTTCTTTTAAAGAACACTGCATGAATCTGGGTCTCTCCGCGGGCGCTGTGATGAGGTATTGTAAATGACAGATAGCGCTTCTTTTCCCTGTTGTACTGATGTTGTGTGTTTACTGAAACGCCACCAACAGAGCTAGTGTAGTATATGTAGAAAAATTAAACATGTTTTGTGACTCACATGCCAATGATAGCTTCATTATTATATAATGTTTTTGTAAATGTTATCATCATGCATGTATAGTTTAAGCTCTATCTGTTGTACTTCTGGTGTGATAAGTGTGCTTCTCATGCAGCAGAGACTCACAGCACACGTCTCTGAGAAGCTCACCCCTTGTAGTTTACGACTAGACAGTGTGTAGAGATCAGTAAGCTCAGAGATCACCGGGGAGAGCCTCAGCACTGCTAAATCAGTTTTGCTTCGGTCTCACCTTGACGTATTTATGCGTCATTATTTTTCACCTCTCTCCTGATCTCTCTCCTTGCTTTTTTCTCTGCTTTTAGGATGTGCTGGTTGCCATCAGGGTGGTGCACCATTCAGAACTGAACTGAGAACTGAGAATGCTGCCAACAATCCACCGCAATTCCTGAATTTGATTTGAATTTGAATCAAGATAGCAAACAGGATGTAGAATTGCAATTTGGACATAAATGTAAGTAATTAAAATTGAATGAAATTCATATAACTGTTGTAAGTATGGAGCATCGAAAGATATTAAAATGAATCAATGTTTGAAATATCAGTTGTTTCTATTGATACTAAAATGTACAATTTAGATGTATTTCATACAAATTTCGTACAAATCGCTACCTATTTTTAGCTAAAAAACGTCAAACATTTTCGTATCTTTTCTATCATTAAGATATTTGTATCAATGCATTTTTATCATTTTATCGATACGCGACTTAGATTTTTAGACCCCGTAACCTACCCCCAAACCTAAACCTACCCATTTTATAGCGAATATAAAAATATACTGTATAAAACATAATTGACCGAAATATGCAGGGAAATGACCATTTTAGTAATAATATAGCATTAAAAATATATTTTTATAGTCGCTAAACCCACTCCTGCCTCTAAACCTAACCATAACTATTTCTGCACAGTATAAGAAAAACATGACGGACAGATAAGTGCAATCACAATCGTTTATTTATTGCAAAAGTGTCAAAAGCAGTCCAAATGATGATGTGTTGCAGCCGCAGTCCTCTCTGACGGAATACAGTAGGTTTGTGTGAGCCGCAGAGCAGAATTTTAGTTGTTAATCATTGAAAATATTATCCAGATTATTAACTCCACTCTGTGAAGGTGCGCATTTCTCATTCAACCACACCTAACCAGAAACACGGCATGTCGCAATGAGTGATGAAGCAGGCGAGAGCCAATGAGTGTTTGTTTTTCCTGCCGTAAAACCTGTCGTCTCTTGAAGTAGCAACATTTGAATTTAACAAGTGTGTCAGGTTTTTGATGCTTACGGTCGCTGCTCAGGATGGAGATCGCTGAATAAAGGCTTGAGTTTGGGACTGCTCCTCGAAATCATATGGATTTTAAACATTCGGATTACAGTGTATGAACAAAATTGATTCCTTTAGTAATTATGTTGCGTTTTTGGTTTATTTTATGGTTCGATTTTCAATCACAGCATGTCGGAGAAAATGCCTTTTGTGTCCCATCGCAAACAAAGTAAATATTACATGATAAGTAATGGTTAAACGATTGCAGAAATGTTATTCATTTTAAGGGTTTAAAGTGTAGTCTTGTTTAACATTATGTAGGCCTATTCATGGAAATAATCTGGCCGTAGAAATCACACAGAACAGAACGAAATATTATCAATTTATATTAAGTAAACGAGTAAACAATCTAATAATGCAATTGAAAACATAATGCCATTGATATGACAACTGAAAACAATATTAATTTCAATTTCAATCATTTTAATATTCATAAGGATTCATTTTTAGGTCATCAGTATTGTACGTTAAAATGCTGAAAATACGTATGTGTACGTTTAGATGCTGTAAATACGTCAGTATTGTACGTTTTAGTGTCTGTAAAAACGTAAGTAAACGTACGTTTTGTAGAACCACATTTTACGTAAAATACATACGAATTATCATGAGATCACATTGTGAAAAAAGAAAGAACATGAAAAAACATAACCAGCAGCAAAAAAATAAAAATTAAAATTACTTTGATCAGATTTTATAAAGCAAAAGCTTGCTGCACAGAAAGAAAGAGAGAAAGAGAGAGAGAGAGGGAGATGGGGAGTATTTGCATTTGTTTCAGAACCAAAAAGATTAAAAAAAATAAGATGCTGAAGATTGTACTTCATCATGACAAAATAATGGCTTTGTGGTTGTTTCCCATCTTTGTGGCTCTCTTCAAATCTGAGGAAATGGCCTGGCATTTGTTGCACTTAAGAGATGCAGATGAGACACAGAGATTCTGACTCACCTCTTTCCGTCGCTGGTATATATCACACTATTTCACGCTAGACACACCAAAGCTAACATCCCTACCAGTGTCAATAACAAGGACGAAACACAAGAAAGATCAGTGGTTTAGCAAAGACTGAAGTACCATCACACAGCAAGACAAACAATACATAATCTTCTAATAAAACACAGTGTTGCGTCTGGTTTAACAGGGGAAGAACCAGAGCCATTATGCATTGTGTGTTTTGATAATTAAATTAAGCGAGGCTTGCAAATTATGTTGCCAGGCTGACATGCATACAAATTTGCTTGTCGTATTGTTTTAGAAATACAAGACATATGAACCTCGTCAAACATGAAGAGAGCAATACAGGACTATATTTGAATTATTTATTGTGCAAACAAAACAATAAAATCATGAGACTATCATGCCTTATATTTCATTTTCAGTTTTGCATTCAAATATTTAAAGAGACGCAGACAGAAACAGTATGCAAATGAATTTAGGAATTTATGTACATATAAGTACATATCCCTAACAGAAATGTGTGTGTGCGTGTGCGTGTGTGTGTGTGTGTGTGCGTGTGCGTGTGTGTGGTTTCCATGGTTACTCCCTCCTGAGAGTAGCTGTTCTAGCTAAGTTAAGGATGACAACACAGTGTATGTGTTTCCATGGTTACTCACTCCAGATTTTGGTTTGTCTTTGCAGTTATGAAGCGAAAGGGTCTTTCTATGTACATTTTCATGCTTATGCATGGATGTTTGTATATTTGCATAAGCAAGCACGTGCTCATGCTTGTAACTGACATTTCGCACAAAAGGTACACTCAATTTTAAAGTGGTCGACAAATAGTGAATTAATATGTGCCTTAATAAGTGTCATCCAGTGTTGAGAAGGTTACTTTGGAAATGTAATAAGTTACAGATTACAAGTTACCCTATTAAAAATGTAATAGTAGTGTAACTATTTCAATAACTTTATTAAAGTAATGTAACTGATTGTTTTTGATTACATTTCTAAATTTACATTTCTAAATCTAATCTGTTAAAGCATGTACATGAACCCAGATAGGAAATGAAACAGTTATTAAATAAGCATGTGTCCTATTCTGTGTCCTAAATTTCTAAAAACACTGGAGTCTTATATTTTAGAACAGTCAATGCAATTTGGGAAAGAAATCAATCAAATCTGTATATGTGTGTGAAAATATTCAGATGTAATCCTCCTTTGTAATCGTTAACATTTTCATAAGTACCTGTAATTTAATTACACATTTTTTCTCAGTAACTGTAACTGTAACTGATTACAGTTACATTTATTTTGTAATTATCTTACATAATTCTGTTACATGTAACTAGTTACTCCCCAGCACTGGTGCCATCATTGTATGTACGTAATCAAGGAAGAGTGTTCTGAACAACTCTTGCCAAGAGTCATACTGCTGTTGGATAAAGATGTTGTAATGTCAAACTCAGTGGATATAAAGAAACTGCCCCTCCAAAAACTTTGAATAGCCTTCCTAAAGTTTTCTTTCGTTCTTCACATTTCACAACACATTGTTTTGCAACCGGTACAATGAAGTTAGCCAATCACAGCAGTGGGCATTTACTTCAATTTCTGTAAGAGCTAAACACCCTTTGAGACTGAGTGTTTCTTTTTTTTTTATCTTTTTTTTTCAAAGATAGTGAAAATGGTGCTATTTACTAATACTGGGCATTTTGTGGTCATTGTTTTGCAACCGGTACAATGAAGTTAGCCAATCACAGCAGTGGGCATTTACTTCAATTTCTGTAAGAGCTAACACCCTTTGAGACTGAGTTTCTTTTTTTTTTATCTTTTTTTTTCAAAGATAGTGAAAATGGTGCTATTTACTAATACTGGGCATTTTGTGGCGCTAAAACTTTGCTAACTTTATCTAACCTCGAGAAATGACCCCTTTAATAATTTGCAGTTGCGGATGTGCAGGTGCATCGGTGTTCTCCTCACTCACTCTGTACCGTAGCAGTCCTGGTGCAGTTGTAGAGGATGGCGAGCTCTCCAAACACCTTCCCCGGTCCCATGGTGCAGAGTTTCATGCCTTCCTTTGTCACCTCCACCTTGCCATCTGAAAGCAATCAGAAGATAAATCCTTAAGTCCATTGATGATGCTCTGTTCATGAAAGTAAGCATGACAGTCTGGAAATGCATCCGTGCCGGCTGCCTGGATCGGACCGAGCCTGGCCTAATACATTCCAATAACAGTCTCATTTCATTAGGCCAGCAGACATGAGCAGAAGCTTCGAGGGGAGTGGGGGAGGTGAGAAAGGTAGGAGCTCTCTAATGAAATGGGCACAGAGAGAAATAGGCCAGTGAAAAGATGGGGAAAAAAAGAAAGGAGTTCAGGATTAGCAGAGTATTATGCCTAAACTATTAGATGAGATGCAGTGAAACCATACTGAGGGCCTGGGACTGTTATTTCAGGATTCATGCGTAAGACACACGTAACGTCTTCTGCGTTAGCTCATGGGAAATTCAACAACAGTCTTGGCTGAAGAGCTCATCTGTCACCTCAAGCAGTCTTCAAATTACACCAAAGCTTCCGGGGGGCCCTACTTGGAATAAAGTAGGTCCGAGGAAGCACTTCCTGCTAAACGCTGGCAACAGTGCGGTAGCACGCAAAAGCAATGTTTATGCACAGACTGACAGTGATGTCATGTTGTTCAGATAAAAAGCATACCGGGGGCACGGGCTTAATAATTAGGTTTAATAATCACTGTGTGTGTGTGTGTGTGTGTGTACTGGTTTATATATCCTGGTGGGGACTTAAACCTGACTACACACAGACTCATGGGGACTCGTGTCACGGTGGAGACCTAAATTGTGGTCCCCACGGGTACAAAAGCTTATAAATCATACAGAATGAAGTTTTTTGAAAATCTAAAAATGCAGAAAGTTTCCTGTGAGGGGTAGGTTTAGGGGTAGGGTTGGTGTAGGGCAGTGGTCGCCAACCCGTCGATCGCGATAAACAAGGAAATGCTAAAGTGCGGTCGGTTCATAAGCAGTGTTGCCAAGTCCGCGGTTTTCCCGCGGAATTGGGCGACTTAACATTGTTGCCGCGGGTTGTTGTTCATGTCCGCGGGTTGAAGCGACCCCAATAACGTGATATTTAGTCCCTGGAATGTAAATTTTACTGGAAGACCCCCGCCGAAAAACGTGTATTTTACCCCCAGAATGGATTTTTACAGGGGAACCCCCTCGAAATGCGATTGGACTAGTTTTATTGCGAAAACCTGGCAACCCTGTTCATTAGTGCCACCTGCTGTCAGAGAGTGCGTCTCATTCAGACCTGCTGTTTTTGTTTCGCGCAGATGTTTTATGTAGCAAATAAATAAATAACACCTAAAGTCAGACCACTCTGTTTTTGTTTTAAATCCTGAAATTAATCTAAATCAAATCAAAAACAACTGCCCCTTGCAGATCGTGATTAAAATGCAGTGGTTGCCTCTAATTTTAAATGGCTAGATATTTTTGTTTAAATTAGACAGCAAGGATACTATCACGATCAAGGCACAGAAACGTAGCAAGGACATCGGTAAAATAGTCCATGTGAAATCAGGGGTTCAACCGTAATTTTTCTCGTAGCTTCGTAAAATTACGGTTGAACCCCTGATATATGGTAATATGTAATATGAGGAACATTTATACATGAAGTGTTGTTATTAGTAGTAGTTTGTTTATTTGATTGTTTGATGTTTTTGATTGGTTTGGAATAATTTGTGATTGAAATTATCAGGGATCCCCAAGCTCCCAAAAACTGAGGTGAAATTTTTTTTTTCCCCAAAAAATAACAAGTCGTGCCATAGATGGTTAATCTAAATACTTCAGAATACTATAATACTTTGGAAAACTAATGAGGTATGTAACGCAAAGGGTCCTCTACAAAAAAAAAAAAAGACATCCACCAAACATAAGACTTGGTTTCCCCCTGCATATTATTTTTAACAACATCAGTTTATAATGCTAATTTATCAGACGCCGTAAAAAAGTGCAAAGTGCAAAAGTGAAAAGTGCAAAACGTTTTCGAGACAAAAGCTCTTCCTCAGTGCCACATTGATTAGTGCACACCTGCACCCATTATAACATCAATATTCACCATGGACATCATAATATGCACGCAGGCCCAAAAACACCATACAATATATCCAATTTTAGACATTCCTATAAATATATTTTAATGGTAAAAAATTCCTTAATACAACATTATTAATGTAAAATGCAAAAAAATGTTTCATACATAATTTCACCCATAGATCTTATAAATGGTTCTTGTATACATATATCCCAAAAAACAATTCAAAACCAATTCCGCATTCATACCAAGGGGATATAAAGATCTCAAATCAAAAATCCATTTGTATTCTCTTTGTAAAAGACAGCGTTCCATGTCACCACCCCTTCGAAACTATGGTATATGTTTATTTCAAAAATGTAAATGACTATGAATTCATTAGCTGCTAGTTGGTATACATTTTGAGAACAATATTGAAATCTAAAAGCATTATCGTAAAAGTGTTTTTGTAGGCCTAGCCAGCTGAATATTAGAACCACATTTGTATTGTCAATTTTTACAATCGAGACTTGCTTGTAGTCTGTGAACTGGCACAATTTGAACTATACCACTGCAAGCAATCAAGAGGGAGGCACTGCTAATATTGTTGTATGATCCTGGTCAGATGTCTGTATCAAAGTCACAGAAGAGGAGCAGCGCCAGATGTCCAATATCAAGTCACAAAGTAAGTCCGGTGCGTAGATCCAAAAATACCATAAGGCCAGCAGAAAAAAACAATCCGCACACGGTCAAATGCAGGGCAAAACCTCCTCAAAAAATCTTTATTATAATGCTTAATCAGAGGCCGTAAAAAGGTGCAAAGTGCAAAACGTTTTCGAGACAAAAGCTCTTCCTCAGTGCCACATTGATTAGTGCACACCTGCACCCATTATAACATCAATATTCACCATGGACATCATAATATGCACGCAGGCCCAAAAACACCATACAATATATCCAATTTTAGACATTCCTATAAATATATTTTAATGGTAAAAAATTCCTTAATACAACATTATTAATGTAAAATGCAAAAAATGTTTCATACATAATTTCACCCATAGATCTTATAAATGGTTCTTGTATACATATATCCCAAAAAACAATTCAAAACCAATTCCGCATTCATACCAAGGGGATATAAAGATCTCAAATCAAAAATCCATTTGTATTCTCTTTGTAAAAGACAGCGTTCCATGTCACCACCCCTTCGAAACTATGGTATATGTTCTATTACCGTAAAATCCAAGTCCGCTATGGAATGTGTCACTTCATTGAAATGACGAGCTACCGGAGATTTTATGTCCTTTCTCCTAATGGAGCTCATATGTTCGATAATACGCGTTCTGATCGATCTACTAGTTTTTCCCACATACTGTTTATGACACATACAAGTCAACAGATAAATGACATTAGTGGATGCACAAGTGGTAAACTGTCTCATACAATACACTCGATCTGTCACGCAACTCTTGAAAGACACCTGTTTTCTCCGTATATATTTACAAGCGGCACATTTATGAACTTCATTACCAATACGATCTCTTTTCTTGTTACCAGCAAAAGTATCTGATCTTACAAGATAATCTCTTATATTCTTCGCTCTATAATGCGAGAATAATGGGGGGTCAGAGAAAAGGTGTGCACATACAGGATCGCTGGTTAAAATGTGCCAATGTTTTTTAATCACATCCTTAATCTCACGACTATGTTTTGAATATGTTGTAGAACAGACAACGTGCATCAGATAAGGTTTCATGTTGCACATTTACTTCTCCTGAAGACACTCGAATCCTCTCCAGTGCATCATCCAATCACTTATTAGGATAACCCCTA